TGTTCTTCAGATTTAACTCCTGGCACAAACTTAATGAAGAAAACCTGAAGCAAAGCAGCCTGTGCCAGACAACACATTCTAATCTGAAATTACATCTCCTGCTCTAATGTGAAAACCCCAAAGCACCTTTGATGAAAAAAACACAACACGCCTTCCAGATACACAAAGCTCAGGATTAGCTCTTACGTATTCAGTAGTCAGAACCAACTGCCTGCTTCTGTCCGCTTTAATCAGGAGGCAGCACTCTGGCATGGCGTCATGTGAGCTTACAAGACACACAGCTCTGGAGCTGGCCCACCCCAGGGTTCAGTCTCATCTCTCCACACTGCAGAGAGTCTTGATCACAATCAAGTGAAGGCAAGAGGGAAAACAACAGAATAAACATTGTACAGAGGAGAAACGTCCATCACTTCTCCTGTTTGACAATTAAGATTCAGAAAATGCAAGCAGGGTGTTCTGTTTTGAACAACCTCTCACTAAAAATGAAACCCATGTTCTGCAGTTCATTCCTTACCTTCAACAACCCTTTCGGGAAGTCTTTGCCATCATTCATCCCCTGGAGGTTAGCAACGAACTCTTGGCAGGTCATCTTTTTCCCAATGTTCTGAAAGGGATGGCAGAGAAACACAGCATCATATTCAAGCTCCTTTCCAAAATTATGTAAATAAGCAACATCAGATGAGTTGCATCTCCCTGCTCTTAATTAAGCCCAAGGCAGGCAGCACTAAGGCAGCATTCCCAAGATTACTCGGAGACAAGCATCGTTGTGTGAATATAGTTAGAAAAGGGAAGGTCCATTTGGACCCCAAATCCCACACTCCCATCCGAAAAGAAAACCAGCTAAACACTGGAGGGTAATGAAGAGGGTGATGATAAAGCTCCCTGGTATCTGCATGGTGCCTTATACCCTCATGTCTCCAGAGGCTCTACCACCCTCTGATGGAAAAGCTCTACTTCATCCTGCTGTGGGGCATAAGGAAACAGCCGACTGAGGCCCTTCCCAGACCTTTTTCTTACGATTTCCAATGCTCCCTTCCAGTAGCAACTGCCCTGAGTTGCAATAAGATGCCCAGGAGCAGCCATCACCTTTTCTGATTCACAGGCTGAGGCCGCCTTGACATTTCCATGGGATTTCTCTCTTTTCTCGCTTTGTCTAATTTTCAGACTGGAAGTTGCCCAACTGAGCCATAAACAGGAAAGGAACAGCTATATTCATGTAGGACACAAACTGCTCCATTTGGAGGCTTGAGGCTGCCCTAAACTGTTCTTGGATCCCAGTCTCCATCACCCCTCAGAGAGAGTGCCTGTGCTTGGTCCCCTGGGTGCTAGAAGTTCCATGCTGGCATGCGAGGAGCCTTGTAAGTGGGCAGCAATGACAACACTGAGTTGGTGAAAAAGGAACCCAGAGAGATCTGAGGAAAGGGAAACAGCCTGGGAAGAGTTGTGAGACATGATAAAGGCAGAGGGAAAACACAGGGCCATCTGATGACCATGGTGTCTTTGGGGATGCCACTGCTACCAGTCAGGAGAAGGGTGTGAAGATGACTTCTCCATGGTCAGGGTATGCCATGGCTGCAGAAATACAAGTGGAAAAGCTTTGTGCACAGTGACTTGGGTTAGGAGCAAGAGCCCAAATTAACACAGGAGTGGAGCCCAAAGAAGGGCACCAGTTGGTAATACAGGTCATTCTGTGTTACAGTTACATGACAGCTTGGACTGCACATCCCCTACTTCCCTTCTGTAACGTACGAACAGGGAGAGATGGAAAACCAGCAAACCTTGACCATCAGCCTCATCGAGCCACAAAGGAAGATCCCACAGCCTGTGGTCAGCACAGACCAGAAGAAGGAAGGCAGGCAACTGCCTTCCACAAGAGAGGAGATACTTCTGGAAGGACACACAATGCACTGCTTCCCACACAAGGAAGGCTCCCGCCAACACAGTCTGGCTGTAACCCTGGCTCTCTGGTTGCTAAGCTTGCAGAATACAACTCGTAATTGCAGTCTTTGGGTGCAGGCTGGAGCTTTTCTACTAGACTTGCAAATGCTCCCCTTGCTCCCTGCAACAGACTTCAGCCTGCTTCTGTTTGTTCACAGCTTCCCCATGCTGACCAAAATCAATAGCAGTGTGGCTCATTTCACCCAGTGAGATAATTGGCATAGCAGAGGAATGGCTGTTTTGCTCCACAACCAAAGCTAACATCTCCACACAGGTTCCAGAAGATGTGCCTGGCAGTCTAGAGATATCCTAAATGTCTCTAGCATCACAGTCTGGGTGATGACCTCCCTGCAGAGAAGCAAGCATGCATCTCCAAGACACAGTTAGCAAAAATGATTTAGTTACAAAGAGAATGAAATGTGGCAAGACAGGGATAAATAAAGGGATAAGTAAGAGTTTGTCTACAAGAGTTAAGGGCAAGTGTGAACTGAAGGCAGAGCAGCTGCACTACAGCCCTACAAGCAGTTTTGCTTATTGTGAAATAAGAGTCCAGACTTATGATCAGTATGTCAGAAACAAATGGAGCTCAGTGTAGACAAGCCCTGTGACTCATTTGCTTCCTGCTCTAGGAGAATCATGCTAAGGATGGGGCAGAGCACTATCTTTGTTAGAAAACAGGCAATTAGTGTATATCTGCAAGGGGCTGCATTCCAAGTCAAAAATGCCCAACTTACCACCTGTGTAGAAAAATGCAAAGCAATAAGAGGAAGACCAAAATTGAAGGAAAACGCAGAGAGAGAGAGAAGACATGCAGGAATCTGCAAACGTTACAGCTGTGTACATTTAACAACCCACCAACAACTGCCAGTAGGATAAGCCTCCAAAGTTACACACTGCAACAGCCAGAGTCATCTTAGCTTCAGCTGCAAATAGTCATCAGCAACGATGGGTCACAGCCAAATCATTTACTCCAGTACCTAATGAAAACAGTAGGGCCCACTAACATATTGCAGGGAGTGAGGGGAAATGCTGTCAGGCTGATGCACAACCATTTAGTATCCTCCCTGGACTGCAAGGCCAGGCAGGCTGGAGAGCAGGTGCCCTGGCTGCTCATCGCTCTGGGGAGTGGGATACCTGCACAGGCAATCTCAGGTGCACTCAAGAGAAGCGGTGTATGCTAAGAAGCACACCAGGACATGTTCCTGTACCTCCACTTACCCTCCCGTGCGACTGATGTGCTCCTCAGTCGGGGAAGGCTCAGCCTTCAGAGAAAAAAAATTCTTCACAACTCCCTTCTCCCTTCCACTTCTACAATTTTCAGACAAAGGCATTTAGTTAACAGGAGGTGGGCGTCAAAACCCCTGGGGAAGCACACACAAGCGTCGGCTTCATTACCTGCACCCACCACAGAGCTGTACCCACAGGGGCCAAGCAGCCCTTGGAGACAGACCCAGGGTGCCTCCACCTCCTGCTGCCCGACCCACCACCCTTGCTGCATAAGAGCTCCCAACTGAGGCTGTCCTGGAAGAGCCCTTGGCAATGCAGTGGAGGGTCTCAGCCAGAGGGAAGCCACAAAGCCACCTGGCTGAAGCCACCGTTCCTACACACTATCATGCCATGCTCCTTGTGTTTCACCATCTCCCTCCCGACTCCAGGACAGAAGCCACTTCCCATCAGCATGGGAATACCACGCATAGCAGGCACATTGCACCACAGGTGCTGAAATACATGTCCTAGGGCTGCTAGGGCTCCTAGGGCTGCACCCTGTACCAGTGTGACTAAGAGGACTCAAACTGGAATACTGTTTCCTCCCAGGCAGGCAGGTGGGAGAGGTGTGTAGGGGGGGAACACAGTGCTCCCACTCAGGATGCCCACGTCCCCACTCCGTTCTGGGCACATCCATCATAACCCTGGCTGAGCAGAACTCTGGTTCCACCAGATCTCCCCCCTGCAACTGGATGCCTGCAAACAACACCTTCCCCTTCTTGACCTTCCCACTACCTCTTCACATCCCTTCTTTCTTCTGCCTTCCCAAATTTTTTTTTGCATACTGGAAAGGGGAAACCAATCCCAACTATTATCACAGCTTCCCAGCCAGGGCCAGCTGCTGTAACCAGGGAAGGCTGAGAAGCACACCAGACAGACAGGGGCCTGAGGACAAGGAGTATCCTCACACATCATGGCAAAACCAGGCACAATGCCAGGCTTACACATGACTGATCTGGGCATGCTGGAAAGCTCTGCCCAGGACAACAGCCTGAGATTGCAGCCTTCTCACTGTTTGCTGTCTGCAGGGATGCTTTAGGAGCAGGCCACCAGCCAGGGGACTCTGCTGCCAGAAGACCACCCCCTCCAAGCAGTGTCAATAGGAGCAGTCTACACAAAGTTGCGCATACTCACGTGGCCGTGCAGGTCTGTGTTCAGCAGCATCATGGCACACGTGAGACAGTGAACTCCATCTGCAGAAAGAGACATAACCAGAGTCACATGCAAGCCCACAACTGGACCTTTAAGAACAGCTGAAACTGAGCCTTATAGCCTAATTGAGTCTGTTCCCTTAATGAGAATCTGTTTTATCAAGCAATACACATAATTAAATAAATGAACAGTGAGGTCATCCCACAGCTGCCAAGCCAGAGGAGCCTTTCTTTCATCTTTTAATGACTGTCAAAACTATCTTGCAGCACCCATGGATGAGGCAAACTAGACAGGAAACCATGCTGTCACCCTCTGCTTGCTAATACCAATACCACAGCCTGAATCAGCTCCCTCTTCTTCATTTATTTCAGGGCAGAAAGGGAAGAGTAAAATACACTCATTCTTGTGTGCAGAGTGGATACAGCACGGTATCCTGTCTTCCTCCCCCTCTGGCCTCCTCCTCATTCAGGGCTCAATTAGACTGAACTGTGGAGAACTTCTGTCAGCTATTTACACTGCCTTGGGTCCCTATCGGGTAGAGAGTGCTCCAGCAATTTCTAAGGTGGTCCTGTAGCAAAGGCCCTCAACAATGAGCCAGAAGAGACAGAGTCTATCCCTAGCTCCAACCCTGGAGTCAACTGTGGCAGACTTGGGAAAGTCAGTGTACACTGTCATTTGCAAAAGTGGACACCAGTTTCATATTCCTCATTTTCCAGGCACCCCTTTCAAAACCCAAAATGTATTGGCTGTGGACAAATCCAGGCAAAGGTGATAGTGCCCATGGTGCCATTTATCACCTCTGCAAATCCAAATGCCTCTAGTCGGTTTCCAAACATTAAAAACACATTAGGAAAAATATTTTCACATTCTCTTGTTCATAAACACATGGTGCCACCTTCCCTTCTCACAGGGGTGTCATAAAGACACAGAGTCATTTAAGAGACATGCACACACTGCAGGGAGATGTACGTAAAAACTTTTGTAGCTGAGTCCAGATAATGACCATGCACAGTTCCCTCTGTGCTGTGAAGGAAGAGGAATGGGGGATGAGGATAAACATATCTCACACTCAGTGTGACTATCACAGGCTTAAACCTGTGCAAGATGAAGCCATTACAAAAAGATGTTCCCCAAGGTAAGGACCATGTTTTCTTACGACATTTGTACAGGCCCTGGCACCCAAGCAATGCGGCCGAACTGTAGCAGAGCATGAAATGAGAGAATTATTATTATCACTAGCAGTAGTAAGCAGCTAGAATCTGGGGCTGTGGTGCTCCAATTCAGGTCTACACATTTCTCTAGAGTAGCCTGCTGTCTCATTTCCAAACCACAAATTCAACCAGAGGATGGAAAAGGGAAAAGAGAAAGGCAAATGCAATCCTGGATTTCCACTGAAAGGAACAACCACCAGATTTCTGCAGTGTAGCACTCGACTACTGACAGCAGAAATACAGCATCAATATTATGTAGAAACCTGGCCAAAGTCTGCAGGACTCAGTTTAAGCTAAATGCCTCAGGCTCAGAAGTGGCATTGTCCCTCCTGCACCCTGGACTAGAGTAAGGCCGCCACATCAACATGCAAGTCATTATTTCAGTCCGGACACAACACACCTATTTTACCTGACTGCCTGCAGTGTCTTGAAACAAGAAAGGCATTAGGAAGAGGACACAGATAGCACGGGAGCAGATTCTGTGTTGCTGCTACCCGTTCCCCTCCCTGGCATGCCGGCCAGTAAAGCTGAACAGGCAGAAAGTAGACAAACATCACCTCACTGCAATGGGGGCAGGTCACAAAGCAAGGGGTAAGGAAGTGTGGAAGTACCTCCAAGCGTAGCAGCTCCTTCTCACTTACACTTGAGACTAAAAGCACAGCTTAGCCTGTGCTTATTTTCTTTCTCACCCTCCTCCCTTTCTCGGTGTGTGATCAGCCCGCGCTGCAGTCACAGGGCTGCATGCCTCTGCCGGTGTGGCTGGCTGAACACAGCAGCTATGCCAGCGGACAGTTGGTCCTCTTCTCCAATGCCAACTTTCTCAGGTTTGATCCGTGTGCTTGTTTGTTTCCCCCATCCATTTCCCAAATGACTGAAAACATTGGCAAGGAGGCAGCACTCCGACTGATGTTAGCTAGTCAAGATGAAACCATGCCAGGATCTGGATACAGCACCCAAAATTCACCCCCACAACTGGCAAGAACTGGCATGCCTGCTGCCAGTGCATGCAGAGACAAAAGCACTGAATGGAGCATGGAAAGCGAACAGCTTCTCTTCCACCTGAGATGGGACCTATTCTCATCCACATGTGTGTAGCTAGAGTAGGGGTACCCACACACGCTGGAAGCCAGCGAGACCAGAAACCACAACTGAGGACATTCAAATCTGGTGATGCTACAACTGAGGATTTACACTGAGGAGGCCTAAACACCTTTCCTGACTGGGGATGAATACAGATTTTTCACTGCCTTACCAAAATTATGTGTGGAGAACATGGAGGGTTTCAATGCTCACCACAGGCAGTCTCTGAAGTGTGGTATGGCAATTACACACCTTCAGTTCCCAGGCACGCACAATTACATGCTATTGAAGGAGATATGAAGGAAGAGGGAGACAACCAAAGACCTTCAGATCAGAAACAAAGTTACCTTGAGAAGAAATGGTGTTTGGGTTACACTGGTAGTATCTGCTGGAGAAGTGGATTAAAACTCTCTCTCGTTCCTGGGTTTCTCCGATAAGTGAAAAGGCTTTAAAGAAACTCCTAGAAGAAGAGCAGAAAAGGTGAAATTAAAGTCATAAATCTCTTTCTGCCTCACATGCGCACAGAGCAAAGCATACTTCACAGCAAGAAGTACATAAGCACATGCCAGACATTTGGTTCCAAGAAGCCTTTCTAGGAAAATGGGCTATTATCCCATGTGCAGTTAATCCCAAGATTATAATAAATGAAGCAGGAGTTAAATTGCCACTTGTCTCAGCCACGGAATATACAAACTAATAAGCAATTACACCATTTGAAAGAGATGTTCTAATTTTTAATATTTTTCTTTTCTTTGGGGAAGGAACTGGAGCAAGTGTTGTTTATGCATGACAGATATCCAGGGTGTTCTCTGTCCTTTTCTAATTGTCTGTCACCCCTGCACCTTTTAACTTTACACTTATTAGTATTCTCATCCAAATCAAAGGAGCTACCCCAGGCGGTGAAGTCAGGCAGGTGCACTGCAGACTCAGAGCCCACACAAATGTGTGGTCCTCCTTCTGGAGGGATGCCTATCAGAGCGGCCAGAGCCACATCAGTCACCTTGCAGAGTGCAGCATGACTACCTGACCTGCAGAAAACATCTGGGGAAGAGGGCAGAAGAGTCACAACATCTCCCACTGAACTTCCATAGCAGGAGGAGCAACCTGGCCCTCCTGGGTTCCTGCTTGTGACAGCCCAGGCTCATTAGACACAGCCAGTGAGCCTGTGCAAAGATGTGGGACACGCACGCATCTTCTACTCTTCATCCAACACTTAACCACCCCACTATTCTTCCTGCTAGAAAAACTCGCCTCGCAGCCAAAGAACTTCTGCACTTCCCAAAATCCCCACATCCTGGAGCCAAGAGATGACCTCAGCGGTATCAGCCTACGCTCATTTGTCAGGATGCTTCTAAGAAAAGCCTGAAAACACAAACCTTCCAGGTCCGAAGTAAGACGGCGTACAAAATGAGTGCCTAATAGTCGATTTTTAAATATCCTGTAAGACTGAAACTAACAGCAAATCTGAGAGGCATGGAATATGTTGCTGGAACATTCACATCTATCTAGCCTGGACGAAGAAACGTTAATTTTTTCTCTTTGATGTAAGGTCAGAGACAGGCTGTACTTGCAATGATCTCACACCCATACAGAGTGTGATCTGCCTGGTAATAACTTAATTTCACATGTAATATATTGCAAATAACCCAATTAACAAGTGGTTACAACTGAGTCTTCACAGGGTTTTTCTTCCCTTCCTACTCCATGACCCCACAGGACATTATGACAACTAGCCATCCTTCGTCCTCCTCCTCGGGCTCTTTCCAGCAACACCCCCTGCCCATGGCAGGCACCACTGACCTACACCCTATCCTCCTCTTCAGCACCTTTACCCCTCTGGAAGCTGCTTCAGAGAGGCAACTGATGAAATAACATTTGGTAAATAAACAAGGCAGGTTCCTCTGTCTCAGAGCACGATGCTGCGGCCTTGGGCCATGGGGCGGGGGTGAGTTTCTGCCCACCAGGAGGGCCAGGATGGACTCTAAGAGGGGCTGGAGCAGCAGTCCCACCTCCTCCCCTCCTGCAGTCCTGCAGAGGACATGAGATCCACTCAGGAGGGGTATGGGTGACGTAGGTCCAGGCTGTGGAAGCAAAGCAGGACAAGAAAGGAAAGAACAACCCTCCCCACATCCCAGGCTTGCTGCTGATGGTGATATGCACTGCACAACGGCCTCCCGCAGCCCAGGGGTAGTGTGGGTCTGGGCTGCTGCCACAGGCTCCAAAATGCTTAACAAACCATAGCTTGTCAGTGAGCCAGCAGCAACAGGGCGGTTACCTCTTGCTCTCTGCAAGCGTGAGGCAGCACGCCTCTGCTCCCCCAGGCTTCGGGATGATGCTCTGTCCCTGGCTTCTGCTGCATGCTCGGGGCATGCAGCCGACAGTCACTGCAGCTACTCCTGAAACCTCAGCAAACTCCTGATGTGTCTAAGTCCCACACGAGCCAGGGCATATTTTAGAGAAGGTCATGACTATTAATATTAACAGGAGATCTACCGGGAGCAGAGACCTCCTAAAAATGTGCCACAAAGCAATTAGGTGTTGGATTTCACAATTAAAAAGACGGGTATATTTAGCATTGCACTACAGGGCTGCTAAAACCTGGAACAAGCAGCAGACCTCCCACCAGCCTGGCTGCTCCCGCCCTGTGCTAAGCTGGTGCTCTGGCTCAGCTCCGATCCCCCTGCTGTGGGAGCAGGCAGTTCACTTTTCCGCAGGCACGTTTCCTTTCCACCACCTTCGGCAGGCAGGGCTCTGGGCTTTCCCTGGGGTCTACCATGGTCTCCTGCAGTCAGCCCCCTGGAAATGCATTTGCAAGGGGACTGGCAAGTGCCTGCGGACCTCCTAGTTTTGTATCATTAGAAAAATATAGTAACGCACTTGAGTAACCTCAGCCAGATGATATAAACTCATTTTAAATCCCTTTAAATACCAGAACACCAGCAACCGTGCTAACAGGCCACTGCTACACGAACTTGGTGTTTTGCCTCCTAAGAAAAAAAATACTGAAAACAAACATTGTTGAGGCCTAATTCCAGTGTTAAAAGGAAGGAAAATTGAAGGGCTGGGTTTTCAAACACCCACGCTGGCAGCTACCAAACTCTCAATGGCATTTTCCACGTGGAAGCTTTTGCTGTTCTGCACATTTTTGGGTGCCTCAGAGGGCCGCGGCGAGGGCGGCTGCCGAGCCACATCAAACCCTATCCCTGGCTTTGTGCACTGCAGCTGGGCAGAGCAAGCTCCAAAAGGCATCAGCCAAAAAGTCTGTGCGGCTCAGCTGTGAGCAACACCTTCATTCCCCAGCAGCACCTGGCAGACTACACATCCCTTGTTTACTGAGTGACTGGTCATTTTTCTCCACCTCCTCTGCATCAAGGACCATCTCTAAGCAGGTCCACCCAAAGATTTCCCTTTCCAGGAAATGCCACCACTCCAGTAGCACTCTGGAGTATGGCGGCACACCAAGCCAAACAGAAAAGAAAAGCTCCGTCCCAGAAAAGCATCACATCCCTCTCTTCACCCTCTTAAGGCCCCCCAGGGCAACCGCTTCAATCAGAACAAAACAGCAAAGAGCACCACTACTAAAACAAGAACGTAAGGTCTGCAAACAGGCGTGTACCTGAGCGAGTAGTCCAGCGTCATGCCTGTGAAGTCAAAAAACTTAAGGTACTCTTCGGCCACAAGCTTGCTGAATTCATTGCTTTAAACAAACAAACAAATAAGTAAAGGTTATCATTTGAGAGTGAACCCCTCCAGAACCAGCAAGAACAGCAATGTGGCCAAAGGCCTCGTATCAGTGCGTACTTTTTACCCAAATGCTTTGCCACATCAGAGCGTTTGAATCTGTCCAGATGGTAGAGGCGCTTAGCCAGGCGCCTGGCTGCTTCCAAATTGCTGCTGCTGCCATTGCTGAGATCGTGGCCAAGGGCTCCGGTGGCATCTTTCTCGTGAAGTTCATTGCTTCCCATGGCAGCACCGGAGTCTAACACCATATTCTGCAGTTCAGCATTGCTATGAGACAGGGAGAATATGGAAAGAAGAAAAATAAGATGACATTACAGTTTCAAGAAGGATTTAATTCCTCTTAGAATAGAAGGCAATTAATAGCACAGAGGCAAGATTACACAATATAGCAAATTCCACTTAATTGAAGGAGCTGTGTAGAACAGGGACATTTATTTAGCAGTCATCAGAGGTTAAGAGTGTTAAATACAGAGACCCAAATATGGGCTTTCCAGCCCAGAAACACATTCTGCTCTGCACTCACCTTCTGAGTGTGCCGAGTGTCCACAGCTTGTGCTCACTTCAGAGAGCTGTTTGCTGTTATCAGCCTACAACTGCACCTGACAAGTTTGGCTCCTCATTTGCTTCTTGCACTAGTATTTTTTAACCCAATCGCTTGCTTGGCTTGAAGGGGTCCCTCTAAAAGTAGGCCATTAGCTGTTTTCCAGAGGAAAATGCAGTGAGCAAGCCAGGGTGTTCAGTAGCTCCAAGCTGACTCGGCACAAGTCCCTTCCTCATTCTTCCCCAGTTGTCCTGGAAACAATACAACTCCCCAAATCTAAAATAACATCCACAGAAGTCTCAGCGGCTTCCGTGCCGCCCATGAGCAGCGGGCATCCCAAGGGGAGGCACCGTAGAAAAAGCATGACTTGGAGCAAGTAACCCAATCTGGGGAACAGGAGAGACACAAGCCACCCAGGCCAGCCTGGAGAGCTGCTTGCTTTCCTCCTGCTCCCTCGTGGTGGCAATAATTTCCCTCACCAGCTGCTCAAAGTCAGGACGTTCAGCACGGCAATCCCAGGGCACTTTACATAAATCATGCATTTATAGATTCCTCCCACCTCTACTACAGTAGGAAAGCTCTGGCTGAGCTGTGTGCCTGCTTTGCTTCTCCCCTCAAAGAGGCAACAGCCCTCCACACCAGAAAGCACAGCCCCACATACACACCCCTGCACACAGGCAGGCTTTTAACTTTGGAAAAGCTTTTCTGTGACACTAGCATGAAAATTCTTGCAAAATCTCAGCTCTGTGTGTGTGTGCATGACAGTATTTCTATTTAAAAAAATACTATACAGAAATTCTTTCCATGAAATCCTCGTTTACACAGAACTAATGAATGATCAGCAGGGGTCATGCGCGGGGCAGATATGAGTGGAATGAGTTAACAATAATTTTAAACGCAACACTTCAACATACCAGAGTTTCATATACTACTGTAATCTTCGGGCTTGACAAGCCATGGTTAGAACAACCAATTGCTGTGCTCCAGTAACAATTATCCAGCCATTTACCGAAATGACTGCTAGCCACTTCTTAACCCTTTAAAGATGAGATCTGCAGATACTGTGAGCTTAAAATAAAAATCTTTGCTATTCTGCATGCCTCCTTCCACACATGTGCCCTACCTCTCTTCCCACGCATGGTTTAAGAGAAGGAGGTGTGCGGTGCTCCTACAGGAAGGAGACTTGCCCATTTCACCTGTTTCCACCCTCCTAGTGCTGCTAGAACACCAAAGTATCACACATCCACACTGGGGGTACAACTTTTTTTTATCAAGTATCTAGGGAAAACAGACATCTAACCTGTTCCTACAAGGGCTGGGGATCTGATTTTGCATTTATTTCAGTGTAAGTAATAAGGTGCTATAACAAACGGGGCTCAGCCTCAGTACTCTAGTAAGGAATTAATACTGTAAATACAATTCCAACAGCATTAACATCACTGACCGCCAGCTACCCTAGAAAACAAAAAAAGCCCCTCCTGATACCGTTGTTGTGGGAAATGCCTCCTCAGCCCTTTCCAAAAGCATTAGCCAATGTCTGAAATTCTCTAAATTTGGTCCACTCCAAACTTGTGAAGAAAGCAAATTCCAGAGTCCTCTGACACATGCCCCAAGCAAGCCTTGTCCATTCAAATAAGGCACGACTGGTTTCAAACTCCCAGCTCTAACAACTGACAAGAGCAAAGGATAACCAGGTGAGCTAACACATCTACAGAGCCTTCCACATAGAAACGCTGCTTCGAAAGCCATGCCGACTTGCAGAGCCTTGCTCATAAATCACAGCCTTGTTTCACCACTGCTCTTTATTAAAGGCAATATTTATAGCCCTGAAAGATGGCCAAAGCTGACAAGAAACATTTGCACCCTGCTAGGAACCAGTGCACTACGAGAGTCAACATTACCACAAACCACCATAAGTTTAGAAAGAAAGGAAGTGCCAGCATCTGCCACTTAGTGAAATAAACACTATAGCAGGTCCCAGCTTCTGTTTTGCCTCTCAGAGCAGCGGCTGGGATGTGAAGAAGGAACACCCAGCAAGAAGGAGAGCGTGCTCTTTCCCCTGCTCACCAAAACTAGCCAGCGGCGCTGCATAAGAAACCTTACCTTCCAACCTTCCTGATTTAAAACTTCATCCTGACAGGGGTCCCCACCCATGTATCAGGTCAAAGCATAAGGGATGCTTCCTTCAGTTATTCCAACAGTTAATTAGCTTATTATTTAATAAGTACAAGAAGGCAATCAAATCAACAGTATAGGTTGTCTGTAACATAAGCCTCCTGTTCAGGGAAAATGCTAGACTGTTATCATTAAAGTGAGACTTCAGTTCTCAAGTTTTTTAGGTGGTGAGAAGACTCGGTGCCAGGCTTAGCAAAGACAAACACCCTGTGCATGACTACTGCAAGCTGCCTCCTGGACAGGTCATTTTAGCAGGATGTGGGGGGTGTTACTCAGGAGAAAGGCTGACATCTCTTCTTACCTCCAAGTCTCTCCGGGTGCACCATTTTCCTTCCGTGCCTCAGCTTCCCCAGCTACTGAACACAAATAATACTTGCCTGCCTCTGTAAAGTGCTTATAATGGATTCTAACGAAGGGCTGGGAGCGACCAAGGCTGCAAATAGGTCTGTCTTCTGCAGTCTACAGTTTCTACCCATAAAGAGTCCACAGCATTACCAGCTAAGCAGAGCAAGACTGGACAAGGATTTCTCACGCAGCTTTACTCTTTATCACATAAAAATGAGAAACCTCCACTGACAAAAGTAGGCTGAAAATGTAATAGATTATACTGCCCCTAATCCTGGACTGAGGGCCGAAAGGGACTGTAACGATACTACTGGTAATTGCCCGTACAGCAACGGCTGCTGATTTTCATCCAGAGACTCTTATATTAATCTCTGCTATCAGAAAACACAGAAAACAGAAGCTACAAAAAACCAGACCCCTTTGGTCTCACAGTGCATGAGCGGTGGCCAGAAACCACATCCTTAGACCTTATTTCTGTCCCCAGCAGTGCACTCCTGACACATCCTCCCTCCTTCTGCCAAAGCATCCCCAGATTCACAGTGAATGCACAGAGGCTGTGACCACCACATCCAACAGAAATTACAGCAATTCAATAAACAGCTGCTATGGCAAATTCAATACCTTCTAACAGCAGCAGCCATCCCTCCACGCTCACAGATGCAACACAGGCAGAATGCAACATCTGTAAAGCTGGTTTCCCATAACACACCGTAACAGCTAGGCAGAGCCTGAAACATTTTATACTGTTTTCTTCACTTATTCCATTATCGACCAGGTCTACAGTGATTTAGCTCCCAATACCAAGGTATCTCAATAATGTTGTGCTCAGCACTTAGCACACTTGATTTGTTTAAGAATACACTAGATTCACGTACTCCCCGCCCCACCAGCCTGGGTTTCACCAAAATTGAAACCCTCCACAGCAACGTATGGGTGGGGAATGGCTGCAACTTCCAGACAAAAACAGAGCAAGGCTAGTAACGTAATGGTAAGGATACAGGCATCTCAGCAGTCCACTCTCCCAGTCTACTAGGCTGCAACTGGAAACCCTGGCATAAGCACTTGCAGTTTCAGGTGCTTTAAGCCCTGGGATGCTCTTCATTTTTTACCAAATCCATGGGGGAAAAAATTCTCTGTTTTGTCCCAAGGAAAAAAAGAGCGTTAGCATTTTGCTTTATGGGAGAAGAGGTCAGATCCACCATGGAGCAACTGCCCCAGCCGCTACCAAAGAGATGTCGGAGCTGATGCTGAGGAGCAGGGTATGAGCCTATAACTCAGCCTAAGTGCTGTCCTCAGCCCAGCCGCATCAGCAATCCCAGCTTGCTACTGCCTGCAGCTCTTACCGGACTGAAGCGTAGCATACATTCTGTGGCACACCATCTCCCCTGGATGCACATGGGGCCGTTCCCTGAGGAATGCTGATCCATCCAGCATGCATGTCCAGAGGGAGTGCACTGGATGCACCGATTTCACGGGGAGCTTGGATGAGCAGAGCTGGGACCCTCCCAGGTTTTTTTGGAAAGAGAGGAGGAGGAAACAGGAGGAAAAAACAACTTTTTCTCTCAAATAAATCTGCACGCCTTTAACATCAGCTTTACTCCAAGGGAGGCTAAGTCAGGCATTTGCCAGCAAAGTCCATTAGAGCAAAACACAGCAATGATTAAAAATAAGGAAGGGTGGAGAGGTGTTCTGGCGCACTAAGCTAGGGCCAGAACAAATGTTGTTTTCAGCAGAGGTACAGTATCAACCAGGGAACCACACTGGGGCTGATAATCACCTTCTTCAATACTGTGCTGGCCCTGTTGTTTTAAATGCCTTCGCTCCAAGCCTTCTTCTCCTCCTGGTTCCGAAATGGAGGACACCATCCCCTCGATCACAACCATCAACTCTGGCTGTGAAAAGCGCACTCTATTTCTAAAACAACAGTCCCTCAGCAGAAGCCCTCACCTCGCAGCATAGCAGGGATATCAGAAAAGCAGAAGCGCTCGGATGCCCCTGACACCAGCCTGGACTGCAGCCGTGCGGGGAAGAATTCCCTCTGCAAAAAGTCCTGCCCTGAGGGAATGAATCTCTGCCCTACAACCTTTCAGAGAGACGTGGATGCTCAGCCAGTGATAACCTTCCGCATTTCAGAGCTGACCAGAAACGATCAGTGGCACAGGTTGAATTTTGTTTCAAGGAAGCTGAAAAGCCGTGCTTGAA